TTTCAGTTAAAAACGGTAAAGGCGAACCGAACATATGGAACACGCCCCCCAGGCACTTTGCTTTACCAACTGTTCTGGCCAAATAAGGCCGTGAGATACAACAGCAACGATTAAAATCGATCTCGAGGACCATAAATTATGCAATTCAACAAACGGAGAACTCCAACTCTGCTCCAACAGACAGTAGCTGTAGACTGTAAGTTGCAAGATTGCCCGATTTCATCAGATGAGATCGTGGCTACAGGCCACATTTCCTAACTAGAAAGTGCTGGCGAGTGTGTGCGCCACTTAGGAAACTCCAGATAAGGAATGGTCAAAAAACATATTGCTTTTAAGATGTTTAATTCTATAAAAACAGAGATACTTCAGAGAAAGTTATGAAATCCCTGGTACTTTATGAACTTCAGATGGGGATCTAAATGATATAAGCATATAGTTAAAAATATTTCCAGAAATAATTTGTTTTGAATGTGGTTTTTTATATAGGTGTTATACATAGCTATAAACATTTAAAAACCTATATACCAATATTTTTTGTTTAATTCTTAACTGATATTTCTTATTTAACTTACCTATAGTTTTTATATTCAATCTAAGCCGTTTTAATAAAAGCTTTTAAACACCCTTAAAGCTATATAAGTATGCAAAAATCCTAGGATTATTTGTTTCAAACATTACTTACATTATAGTTAATGTTCAGAATTTAAAACTCCCCTGTTTGACTTATAGAAGCTGCACTGTAGGTGTGGAAACCCGCTCGGAGGAGGCTGCAACTTCATCTGCGTGTGGCCAGTGTGTTTTTCCGATTCAGTTTCATTCATGGTTTCTTTTTTTCGATCGAACCCACGCCCATGTCAGTGGGCACCCACAAGTGGAGCGAAAAGCTCTGGCAGTTGGACACTCGGACACATGGACAGCTGGACAGTTGGGCGGTTCAACTTTAACTTCGATTTTCAATATTCATGACAGGAGTGGGGGCGATGGAGGATTCGGAGGGAGGGTTCGGGTTTAAATAGTGGGGGATAGCCGTGCTCGAATGGCAGTCGAAAATTATGGCAATTACTGCAGAGTACTGGAAATTATTTGCTCTGGCGACCTCATTGTCAACACACACACAAATAGCCGCTGGAAAATTCATAACAGCATGTGTGCCAATATTCCCACATGCACTTTGCAGTTGCTGTTTAATAATTCGGTGTGTTTAATGCAAATTGAGCGTTTAGCAGGCGTCAGTAGGCAGGGGAAAATGATCAGCCAAATGGGTTCATGATGCGAATATTAAGCGTGGCTGGGGAATCTTTTTCGAACTATTTTTAAATCATTGAAGAAGTTTTTTTCCTTTATGTTCTCCTAATTTATTTGTTTAAGAATATATTTGTTATTTTGATTATTTATTTATACTAAAATAAAATATCATGGTCCTCTTTTCACACAATTTTAGAACCAACAACTCTTGCATAAAATTTGCATCAAATTTGTTTTATTTTCTATCTTGTTTTTGATTCTCCCAAATATTTTCATATTTATTTATTTATCCTTGTTCTAAATTGAAATATTATTTCAAATTAAAAATACTTTAAATAAATCTTTTGACAGTGCGTCATATTTTACCACCAACTTGTTCTCATTGCTAATTTGTTTTAGATTGAACAAAATGCTTTTGATATTCATTCATTGCACTCATTTATCGCGGGGGAAGTGTTTTTAAAGCCGCCAACTAAAATGACCAATCAATGGGTCACTCATCGCCGAGGAATCCGCTTAAGCCCACCAGTTCTTATCTCGAAATGCGGAGACCACAATTACGCCGTTGGCTTATCGGCGTGAGCAGCCCTCAATTACAGAGCTCGCATAATTATGCCCCTCAAATCGGTCTTAAAAGACGGCACGAGATTCCGAGCGAGAATCCCCGGGAAATACTCGTAAATCGGGGCGGGAAGTGCGGTGGTAAGCGCCTTATGCGGCTTATTTGTAGGTCGTATAAAACGGAGTCCCCGACGGCGGCTACTTGCCTCGTTTTATTTACTTTTTATACGCATTTGTGCAATATTTATTTTTATGCCAACTGCAATGGGCAGTGATAAGCGCTGGACAGCGGATGAGACAGACTGCCCGAGCAGGGGATATACTATATATTACAGGGGGCAGATATAGTCGGGGGAGAAGGGAGAAAAGGAAGCAGACGAGAGCAGCGACAGCGGAAATTTATGGGCGTCGCATAAAACGCATAATCAGTAAACGAATGTGCCACAAAGGCAGAAAAAGAACAAGAGAGAGAGAGAGAGAGAGAGAAGGAGGGGGGTTTGTGGATTGGGGGGCTTAACCGAATGACCGATGGATACGGAATCGGTGAGGCTATAGCTACTCTGGAACAATTCCCCCTCGGATCCATCATTCGCACGTTCGACCGACTGCGCTTCGATAGAAATGCAAATTCAAGCAAAACTTGCGTGTAACTTGTGGCTCCTGTATTCGTACACTGAGCAAATAATAACAAAAAATAAAACAACCAATCAGTCAAATATTTCAGTTCTAGCTTCACTTAATAACTAACCTTAGGAAATACAAATTTGTGGAAATTTTGGTTACTCCTGTAACAATAAATCAATCAGTCAAATCGTCAGTCTAGACAAAAAAGTTGAGATTTTATTCAATACCTCTTTAAACACTTACAACCCAGATATATATTTTCAATGAATAAATATATCATATATGCTAAAATTTTAATGTTTGACTTAACCATAAAAAAAGAATTTTCTTTAAAATTCAAGAATTTGTATGCGATATAAAGAGGTCATTTTTCTAAAAGTTCCCAACAAATTTTAAGAATGGAATTTTATTGTCGTGAATAGAAATAGAAACAATAAAGCATTTTCCCTGCCTGACTATTACAAAAGCCGAGAATATTTTCAGCAATAGTTTTTTTTCTTTCTTGAATTAATTCAGAGTTATGTTAAACTCTTTAACTTTCTGCCTGCTTAGAAGCGCTTTACATTTGATTTATTTTGGGACGCACTTGCTTTCAGTCCGAGTTGCAGCACATAAGTTGCATGAGTCAGTGCTAAATTGGTGCGCCTGAAGTGGCTGAAGTGCAACGCTTGCACTCTGCACCTTACCGCCTGCGGTGGCACTATTTCACTGTCAATTGATCGGGTGACAGGGGATGGCATTAAGCAATTGCCCGACAGAGCAGGGCCGAGGTACATAATTGCGGGCCACGTTAATTAAAGCCCTGTAATGGCATTAGCTGGCCTTTTGACTCACCCGTCCGACTAATTAGGCTTGCATCTAATGCAGGATGACGCCGATTTCTGAAGACACGCGATGCTATATAATGGGATTCGATACTTGGCGTCTCACTTAATTACCAACTGCCAATGGCCAGCTTGATAACAGTTAAATTGATTTTGATTGCTTTATTCGATGCCTATAAATCAGAGAGAGAGACGAGTGGAAATTCTATTGGGGCACGTGGGCCGGGAAAAAGTGATACTCGGCGATATGGACACCGATATGCTGGGGATTAATACCATATACACCATGGGTGAATATATATCCATCGCTGCTCTGGCCACTGCCCACTTGTCCGGTGTCAACGTCAAACACGAAACGAAACATTTTGTGCGATTAGCTTGTAAGATTGTTTGCAGCTCTTTTTCCTCTTTTTGGTTTTTCTGTGGCCATTTATTCAACTGCAGTCAGTTTTCTGTTTTCAGTCGGCAACTCGATAGTTAGAGTGTGTAAAACTGGATTGCAGCTGGACCGGGCCAAGAGCTAAAAGCCAAAAGGGTGGGAGACTGAACGGGGGGCTGAAGCTGGCTTAGATGTGAACGTAGACAAGCTGGCAAGCCAAAAGCATTTTGGCCTCATGGTGATTTTAGTTTTTTTCCCCCACTTTTTTTTTCGGCCGCTGTTTGCCCACTCGAATGCCTCCGAGTGGCAATTTTATCGAATTATTTGCACTTAGCTGCAAATTCAATTGGAAGTAACGAGCGCATTTCGTTGTTAGCACCGGGATGCCGGGGATCCGAGTCCGCTTCTACATCTACGGGTACAAATACCCGAGTGCCCCCAGGCCCCAAAAACAACAGGTGATCCCATGCACTTTGCACACGCGGAGACACAAGCACAATTGATATCTCTGTCGCAGTCGCAGTCGATTTGCTCTATTTGGGTCGTGTCAGAAAACGCCGCAAGGTGGTAACCCCCATCAATGGGAGTTGTACAGTAAATATCAGCTATGAAAAAAGCAATCTTATATGCCTTACATTGTGTGCTTTGAAATTGATTGCCTAATAACTTATGTTACTACACAATATTGTACAAACCACGGCCTAAATGAAATATGTTTTAATAGTAATAATACCTATGTATTTATAATTATATTTAATAGTTCTTTTTTATATTTGTTAACATAGTATTTTCTAAACAATTAAACAATAAATTAACGCTTTATATATAATTTATTAATTTAATATTTATTTGTTTTATTAATTTTGTACTTAAAAAGTATTTAAGTAACTCTTTAAACTTCTTTATTTCTATAAATTCTTCCAAATTTTATTTGAAATTGTAAACAGAAGTTTCTTTTTTTGCAAATTTCATTTCATTCAATGTACCTTTATTTTTCTTAGTGTACTGCTTAGTGAAACTATCTATTAAGATCACTTTATGGGCTGTCTTCTCGGAGTTTCTCTTAGCCTGTATCCACTTTACTTACTGCACTTACTGCAGTATATATTTTGCATTGTGCAACACATTTTTCGGAGTTTGCCGATAAGCGACGTGAGCAATAGGAAATATTTTGACACTTCTTTATGGGGCGATCTAAAATAAATGCCAGCTATGCAATTGCGATATGGAAACCACTTTGTGTTCGGCTGATGTGAATAATTACAACCAAATTGGTTGGGAAACTCTAGCCTAAGGAAATCCTAAATAAACTAATCTTTATGTGGAATTTATTTTATATTTATTTATATTTAATTTATATTTTTCAGGCAAAACGAGAAGGACTGCGATGAGGACGATAAAGAGGATGTGCTGGACATCATGCCGCCACCTCCGAACTACATACAGATCTCCCAGGGCAGGATTCAGTTGGTCCACCAGCCAAGAACTCCTTTGGAATCGGAGGCGGGAACCCTTTCCCTGGAGCGACATGGAGGCTCGATCTCCGGATCCGGCGGCTGTGATAAGGTGAGTTTTTCTGGTGGCTTAGTTAACCCCAACAAAATCCGGGTATTTGGTAACTTCCAGCTTTTGGTTTGGAGCAAATGAAGCACGTAGCGCTTTCGGGATAGACAACATAGTAGTAGACCCATCCAATTACCGACAATCGGCTCAAATCAAATCATAGCCCCTGCATATAGCTATTACCTACCCACCAACCATCAACTAACCTTCGGCTCCGGTGTTTTGTGAGTGGCTTAACCCAATTTCTGTGGGGAAAATCAAAGGGGGGAAAAACAAAAAAGAGCAGCTCGCTTTCCATTGTTGGCGTGTGGAGAATTTTTCCCAAAGTGCGGCATGCAAACGAGAGACTCTCGCCGAGGCAAACACCTTTGAACTCGACTCTCGACTTTGAGGCTTTCGGCTTTGGGCTTTTGTGAGCCACTTGAACTCGTTAACGTGCCATTTGAGACACATCGCGGCGGCGTTCCCGAGATTGATGGAGGACTCCTCGTGGGCCGAATGACCCCTTGACATGCGAATCCCCACCAAGAAGAGGTCACGCCAACTTTAATTCCTCTGCCTCGGCATTCCTCTAGTAATTTCTCCCCAATTTCCCTGCGATGCCGCCTAATTGATCGCGTATAAACGTTGACAATTACCTGAAACTAACTTCAGCCTTTCCCATGGATGATCTCCGAGTGGTGCTCCCATATGTTCACTCGAATTCTCGCTGCCGCTCACGTTCCGACTTCCGTGACGTTTTAATAGCACTAAGTATGGCGCATGCGCGGCCGCTGCAGTTGATTTATGGTAGTTACTGGCTATGGATGGCTTTGGATGGGCCGGCTCGCTTGGATGGATGGCCCATAAGCGGCTGCAAATGAGCCGGACCAGTTGGCTTTGCCAGGGGAACGTGGAACGTGGTAACTGCCCCATGTAAATGGCAGCTGACGCGGTAATGTTTCCCAGAATCCAGCGGAGAAGTCACGGCTCCTGCTAATTGAACCCACGAATCCGACTGCGTGCCTCGATTGCCAACGTCCAGATGCCCAACAGCCACCAGAGAATCCATTCGAATGGACAGACAGACACCCACTCTCGGCAAATTTGCCAAATGGCATCTCGATTATTTGTGCACTCGGCACAATGGAACCGATGCACTGCATCCACGGCTGTCATCAGAACCCAGTCACGTTCTCTCCCCATTTTGATGTTGCTGTTGTTGCTGTTGTAATGTTGCTGTTGTGATGTTGCTGTTGCTGCTGCAGTTGCAACTGTGCAGTTTCGCAGTGGCGACGAGTGATTGAGGAGCGGGTCAATGAACTGGAAGCTATTTATTTGCTGTGTTTGCTCAGACTGCTTAGCCCCCAATCCCGATGGCTCCTCTCTTCTCCTCAGTCGCAGCTTCTGGCTCTGATTCTCCGGTTCTCCAACTCTCCGATTCTCGGATTCTGCTGCACATGCGCGCAGTTTCCACAGCTGGAATAGAAGCTCTACCGAACTCTATGGGCTGGCATTGTTGTCGCCGTCTCCATTTCATTGCCTGCATTAGCATATGGATATGTGTGTACCTACTGGCTGTTATATTTGCTTACACGGAAAAAATTCTCGAAGGGGGCAGTTCATAAGTTCCAGAAATCGATCAAAAAAGGGTTTTATTTTCTTTAATTTCCAGAAAAGTATAATTAAATATCTTTCTATTAAACCCTAGAATCTAATAGATTGAAAGTTGCTTAAGAAGTTTAGGGATAAAGATTATCTAAACTTTTTAGTAGGTCAACGATTAATTCAATCATGTAGCACTTTAATGATAAAAACAAGGTAAATCAAGTTCTTAACCTAAATAAAACAATCTTAAGATTCCATTTTCCTAAATTACAAAAATAATTGCATAATAATTGTTTCATAAAAAGTAATATTTATTGGAATAAGATTTTAAATCAGATCAAGGCTCATTTTTCCTTGGTGCATTAACTGGCAGCTCCACCTCGAGTCTGGATAATTTCCTGCCACAAATCATGGCATTCATTCTCGCTCAGTTGGCCAACTCTTTTGGCCATTCATAATCACGCTCGGATCGTAATCTTTATAAATTCTCTCTCGTTACGGCAGAACAACAAAAATCAATTTGTCTATTGCGCAAAACAAAACAAAAAACAAAGACCATGCTTCAAAGGCGACAACACAACCCATTTTCTTAAAGCAATAAAAATTATTTTTACAACTTCCACAACTAATATTAAGTGTTTAACAAAACAGAAAGCAGCAAACCAAAGAGACAAAAAATCCAAAAAAAGCAAACTGCTGTTTTTACGAGCGACGGCGTCACATTAGCTGTTTTGTTTCTGTTCCTGTGATTTCTGTTGTCTGTTCGAGCCAAGTAACAACATTTGCTGGCCATTTTTAGGCAGAGGAAAACTTCGAAATTGCCATTTCCATTTCCTGCCCACGCCCCTAAAAACTCCTTGTCATGTGTACAATAGGTATATTCATATATATACAAACATATATCGGGTATATATAGTATAGCAGTACACTAAGTAGCTGATTTACAGATCTCTTTGGGGGCTTTTCTTTTTGATTTCGAGGCGAAAACTCGACTTCATGTGCCACGGTTCTTTTGTGGCATGTCAGCCTTGCTCTCGGTGAATTATTGGCCATGCACACCTGCAACTTGCCACTTGTCTCCCCACTCAGGCCCCACTTTTCAACATGCCCCAGACCTTCTCCTCATCGCGTGCGGATTAAGTTGAAACTTATTGTGTTTTTTTTTTGTTTTCGTTGGTCCGAATGCAATGCATTGCATTCACGGGGAAAATCGGGATTGTGCTCAAAAGAGTTCAATGATTTGCTTTTTACACCTCGAATCTGTTTTCTGTTTTTGTCGCTGTGACAAGATCGTAAATTAATTTCAATTGCTTTTCATTTGTGTTCCAGACGTGAAAATAACTTGTCTCACTTAAGTGCTAAAAGTGTGGTTATTTAATGTGATAGTTGGAAAAAAGGTTACTTAAAGTTGATAATAATACAGTTGAGCTGTTGGTTAGCTTAATACTTAGCAATTATTCAAATTGAAGTTGTTTTTATAATTGGAAGTCTATTTTTACTATTTGGTTTGTGCTTTAAAATGTAAAATGTAAAATGTAAAATATGCTTTTACTGCTGGATTTATGAAGTGGTAACTAATCTATATAACCCGCTTTAATTTAAGGAGCCTTAAATAAGATTTTGTGTATACTTTTCAATAGCTGTAGCTAAAGTAAGATATAAAATGTAAAATATGCTTTTGGGCAGCACTGGAATCGCTTACAAACACACCCCCTCGCACTCACACACTCGCAAACTTCATTGGTTCACTGGCCACAAACTGAATACTGTATGCACGGAAAATTGAAGAAAAACAAAACCCATGCACATTTTCAGCTAGCTTTAACTTTTCGCTTTTTGGGAAATTTTAGCCGTAGCATTTTGGCCTTCTTGCGCTGCTTCCTGAGTTTTTGGTTTTTCTGTTTTGTTGTTCTTTGCAGGATGTTTTGGAGAAGCGGATGATTGAAGTTGAAGGCGCTCTGCTGCGTTTGCAGGAGCAGTTCCAGAAAGTGAGTACTCCTACGGAAACGTATCTATATCCAACTCCACCCAGATCTCCATCTCCATTCTCCATCTACGAAGTTGAGATGTTATTACCCGGCCCGGACATTGCTCTCGAAATGAACTTTGAATTTGATGTCGCCGGAGTTGGGTTTTCGTTTCGGCCCTTCCCGTTCCCAAAGCATTTTAATTTCCTGTGCGGTCAGCGTGTGAGGAGATACTTGGTTTTGGGGGGCAGGGTCTTTGGGGTATTCAGGGGTATTCAGGGGTATTCCGGGGTGTTACGGGGTCCAGATGGACATGGGGGTCATTAATCGTGTTCAGTCGCTTGCGCTCTGTGCGGTTTGTGCGGTCTAGCTGGCCAACAAGGTCGCCTGGGTGGGCAATTAAAAGTTACAAGCTTAAATTACATGCATATGAGGCAACATCAAATTACCCAACAGCAGGAGTAAAAGAAACAATGTCCCATAAACACAGGACTATTCTAAACATACCATTAAAGTCTATCATACGCATGGAGAAACACAAATAAGTAATTCTTTAAATCTTTAAGAATATCTTGTATTTGAAAGAAAACAGTTTATATACCTTCGCATATTGGATACTTTAATTGTTTGATATTCATTCTTAAAATATATAACAAAATTGGTATTATAAGGTAGAGATTGTTGTTCAATTTATTTTACTTTTATTTATTTGTTATTGTTCGACTTGAATATTTTTGTTCTTAACCAAATTGCAACTGACATTAGCTTGATTAGTTAACCAAATCTGTGACGAATTATTTTAAGAAACTTTGTATACAAATCGAGCAAATAATACATACCAAAACTTTTTAGAAGAAGCACTTGGGAAAACTTGCATGCAAATTGGCGAACATAAACTCCCATAAAATGCGTCTTAGGAAAAGCGGGGATGGGAAATTGCGACTGTTTATTACCTTCGGTCCACTCGATCAAAGCCCTCTCGATGGCAAATCACAATCTAAACTGTCATCACAATGGCCGGAGGATGGCCCTTCTCGGCCCGAAAGAAAGTTTATTGGCCGGAACTTTCCGGCGGAAGGAGCTCGGCTTGGCATACGCATTTCCGGCTTTAGGTAATTGAATTTGATAACAACAACCAAAAAAAAGGAAGAGAGCCCCGAAAACGAGTTAACTGCTCGGAGTTTATGGTGTGAAAAGGAGCAGCGTGTGGCCTCGTCTTCATTGGCAGTGGCATCCATTCCATTCCACTCCCACACTCGTTTTTGGCCAATGATTTCCGCTGCCAAATGGCCACCCGCCGCCTGCTGTTCCCTGATTTTTCGCAGGAAGCGGCGGCGACAAAACGCGTCGAGAGGAAAAGTGGAAAAGTGCTTTCGGCCCGGTTCTGGCCCGTTTTGGCCCGTTCTGGCCATTGCCTGATTTTCTATGCTTTTGGCAGGCGGCCCGGCTCGCAGCTGAATTTACGAGTGTGGCAGCGGCAGTTGCCCCCCACTTCCCGTGCTCCGCCTTATCATCTTGCCACGCTGCCAGCGCGGTCCATGCACGGCAATCCGATTACTGCACTGGGAAAAAAGTGTAAGCTTTAAATAATTGAAAAATATAAAACAATCCGCGATAGGCATTTTCATATTATTGGTCAATATTACGAATTTTATGTGTAGCTAACTTTTCTGAAATTTTTGAATTAAAATTAAAATTAAAAATTATCTTTTGAAGTTGTTTCGCCCTAAAATCAAGTAAATGGAAAAAATTGTTTAATAAAGCTATAAAGCTATAAGGATAAAACATGCAAAAGACATTGAAACATAAAGTCCAATATGATCTATTTTTAATTCATGTTAAACGTTCTAATTTTTTAATCAATATCGAAATATGAATGTATTAAAAAATACAATTTTATTCACTGTTTGGTTTTCTATTTCTTATTACCCTTTTTTTGTTAAAAACTTTTAATATTTGACAAATATTTCTCCAAGTGCATGGGCATATGCGGATGGTGATTTTTTTTTGCACCACAAGGAGTTTGTCCAGGAGGTGGGGGCAGTGGGCGGAGTGGATACATGAGCTACCGTTGCCGCTGTCCCAACTTCCAGCTCCTTTGGCAATATTTCTGCACTTTATCTGTCTGTAAATAACGATTAACTATGCTCGCTGCTCCCTCAGCTGTTTTTGCGCTTTTTCTGTTCGGTTTCGGTTTTGTTGCTTTTGCTTTTGTTGTTGCTTTGGCATTTGCTTTTGCTCTTGCTCTTGCCACTGTCCTTCGTTTTCACTTAGTCAAAGTCTTTCCCCCACAATCCGTCTGTGTGAGTGTGTGTGTGTGTGTACTTTATTGTTATTGGCATATCAGTAGCTCAAAGGAAGTGGGGGCACTCCACTGCCAGAAAAGAGACAATTAACTTTGGACCTGATCCATATGTATATATTTAATATGTGTCAAAATGTTTTCATCAGTTAGTCAACTTTATTTTAAACTAAATAAAACCATCAAAATTAACAGGTTAATGCTTTGCTCTGAATATCAGCTGATAAGTTCGTGTATAAATATTGTATTTGAAATCGATAAGCTATTATATTGAACGTGGTTATAATGAGCAAAAAACTAATGGGGAGATTAGCTGTTCCAGTAACAAAAAACCATCAATCACCCAACCCTATTTTTATATTGTTAATTAATTGGCATTTCATAATTCCTTATGACATTTGTCTATCTAGTATAACTTTTTTTTCTGTGTGGAAAAAGGAGAGTTGGCAATCCATTGACAAGTCGGGCCACCAAAAGTGTGAATGTTGCAGAAAATATTTTTTTTTTGGGGCTCCCAAGGCTAAAAGTGGCCAAAAGATGGGGAGCAAAAGAAGGCGAGCCAAAGGCAGACTTAGACAGCTTGTTGGCCATGTGGCATGCAATAAATGGCACGATTCAATGAATATCCATCTTCCGATTCGGCATGCTATCCCCATCAACATTATTCTCGCTCGCAATTCCATTGCCAGCCCCACTTTCATCATCGTGCTCATCTGTTTCTTATTTGGTCGTAAGCAGAGTGTGGGCCCACTTTAGTGTAATTGATTTGCAAGCGGAGAGCCCTGCGATTATGGTCTCCTAATTGATAAGAAGGCCGTCCTTCAAAAGGGTTCTGGTTCGATCCCCAGAAGTTTGGTTGCTAGGTTTCCGCTTTCAAGTCTTCCATCTTCATCCTGCCCGAATTGCTGACAGTTGCCGCTTTTCTTTTTTACCAATTTCATTCCTGTTTTCTGTTACAACAGCTGAGCCCTTGTCCGTAAAGTAAAGCACATGGCAACACGACATTTAATCCTTTGTCCCCTCAAATATTTGTGTTTGATGTACGTAATGCCGGCAAACAAACGGAAAGGCAGATGACTAAACGGAAGTTTTGTTTATTTGTTTGCCTTTAATCAGGCGACAGATCAACAAGCCAAATCTGAATGGATTGGCATGTGCTAATGAAAAGTTGATTTAGGGCCAAAAGAAGGGGCGGAGGAATGGAAGAATGGAAGAGCAGTGCACAATGCACAACTTTCGCCACCAGCACGTGCTCAATTTTTAATTCCGTGGAAGTCCAGCCCCTCCAGTAATCTCGTTGCCACCCTCGCATCCCTCTCCTCTCTCTCTCTTTCCCTTTCCCCACTCGTCCCGTTGCCCTTGGAAATCTGCGCCTTTAATAAGCTCAGCTGCATTCAACTAAAGAAAATGGAGAGAACGAGTTGCGGGGGAAAAGAGAGTACAGTACAGTTAAGATTTAACAGACCCAACCCAACAAAAAGTAACATATACATAAAAGCATTTATAGGATTCCATTAAAAAATCTTATTTATAATTAAACCCAAATCAAGCTTAGACAAGGTAGTTATAGAACCTACTAAATTTCAATTTGAAAATAAGAAGTAAACGATGAAGAAATATAAATAAGTTTCAGTGATTTTTAAATTACCTAAAAAAGCTTACTTTTCTTCACATATTTTACAATAAATGTGACCCTTTAATAAGTTTTTGGCTGGTGCTTAAACTAAAGGTTATTTGGTTTATATTTTTCAAATATGGTATCCATTTCAGGGGTTCCACTGTACGGGCAGGGCAATGGAGGCAAAAGAAAAAACTGTCGCTGTCAACTGTCAAGAAGGGGGCGTGGTCCTGGTCTCGGACGATGTCTCTTGAGTGGCACTTGGTTCGCTTACAAGGGCCATCGAAATGGAGTGGAGTTGGGGGCAGGGACTAGCTGGAGCTGAAGGCGAAGAAGTCGCAGCATGAGCACTTTTTATTATCCACATCAGTGGAGTGTCCCTTCGTGTCTCCCACCATCATCATCATCATCATCATCATCATCATCATCATAATTCAGCGTCTTTCTCCTCGGCTTTTGAATTGCTAATAATTTTGTCGCAAGCGTTTGATGGTTTACTCACTCGGAAGTAAAGGCCCTGCTGCACCACCTCTTTCCAATTCCCAGTCCGATTGCAACCACCCATCCATGGATCCCCGTCCGGAACTAGAGTTATATACATGGCGGGATATATAGCCATAAATTTAGGGTAGGTCATAGCCACTCTGGAGTGTAATATTTTTGCACATACTTATTGCTAGTGCCCATTAATGCATAGAAGCCACCCTTTATGAGCTACCCCCGGATCCTCGTTGCGTTTTTTAACAGCTAAGTCCAGAGCCAACTTGATGATTCATACGCCCCCTCAAACCCGGCGAGAATTTCGGAACTACCACCACTATGGGGCATATGCGGAGGTCTCTTCAGAACCCCTTGACAAAAAAGTGCAATGCAATTAATTTTTCGCGAAAGTTTTTCGGGGAAGGGAATGGCTTTGTCCATCCCACTCAGTTGCCTACACTGGCGGAAAAATGGTACAGAAACTAAAAATAAGCAAGTAGCTTAATAAAATAGGAAAGATTATCCAAATGATGGGAATAAAATGTATAGAAAGTATTTAATACTTGTTCATAATTTAAAAATCTACTTTCATTTACATGATTTTAAATCTACAAATGCACTATGAAGTTTGTTCTTATTTATTAGAAACATTAGGCGTCGGGCTGCAGCTTAAATTATCAATTTTTTTTATGTCAAAAATTTGGTATTTCTCTGATGTGTAGATTTTTACTTTTCATTTTATCTTGCTCAAGTGACGTTTTAGTGTTTGCATTTGACGCAGCGGATGAGAAATTCACAATGTGAATGGATCACCACCAGTTCCAGTATATATATACATATATATCTGGTATAGATATAGGGTTGTTCTTCTGCCTCGCATCTGCGAAATGTTTATTTTATTGTTTACCCATCTCCCTCCCACTCCCTGGGTCGCGGTTCATTAAATTAAAAACGGCCAATTCCAGTTATTCGTATTCGGAGTAATACATCAAAAAACATCGTGTTTGTTGGGAGGGGGGCGGAGAGGTGGTGTTTTGAAGGGGGGATGTTGTTTTGCCGGCTGTTGCAGCTGATCGAAGTGGGTGGAGAAAGCTGTAGGAGAGGGAGAGCAGGTTCCCAGCAGCTGTTCTCTTCGAGAAACGCGGCGAATTCACCAGAAATTCTCTCTCTTTCATTTGGGGGAAACTTCAACGAGGGTTGTTTTCCCAGTTCTTTGCTCCTTGTCGTCCTTTTTATCATTGTTTCGCCGGCTTTCGGGAACAACGCCAATGTTCGCCATCGGTCGCGTGTTTTTTAAAGAATTTTTTATTGTTTGAGTTCCTGGAAATTATATCTTTTCTTCTAATGTGAGCTACGTTGTTTGCGTTTTGCCGAAAATTTATTCTGCTTTGGGGACCGCCAATCTCCCCTCCCTTTCGCTCTTCAGCCAGACACTTTTTCGGACACAAACTTTGCTGTTATTTTTACGGTTTTGTGGTCTCGCAAGTCCCCCAAAGTTTGGCTACCCGCAACAAAAAAACAACTCAAGGAATCACCAGAGTAATCTCATTTGGAATGGAATAAACTGAATAAACCGTTACAATAACAAGGAGCAAGGATGGTAAGAATCAATACTGGCATTGTGGAGGATTAAGATTTTAAATTGGAAGAAGGCCACCCGCCGCTCAATCTGCATGTTAATTAATAATAAGCGTGTTCATATTTTTCCCCCTCGCTGAAAACGGGGGTTAATATTAAGCTCGATTCGGAATTTTGAGCGATCGTTAAGAACACGCGTGGAATTTTCCCTTTTGATGAACTGAACTCCCCCGTCAGGACAATAGAAGATTTTTATGGCATAGGACACTGACATGTTCATGTAAAGGGGGTTACTGTGAGAACAAAATAAAAAACAATTTGTTATCTTGTTTCATTTACACAAGGAAAAATTAATATGATATTAGTGTACAGAACTTATAAACCTAAATATTTATGCATTGCTAACAATAATTCTGCAAAATAATTACCAACAAATTTAAATGTAGTTTTAAAGGAAATATACAGTGTATTCCGTGATTCTAAAATGGAAAGCTTATAAAGATATCTTAGCAAGATATTAAAGATATACATACATAACTTTCTCAAATAAATAACTTAAACTAAATGATAGCATGTACTAATTCAATGTTCCTTTATTGGAGTTGTATTTGATACCAAATATTTCACTCATGACATTCTATTTCAGAGTTGTATAACTTCCAATTAGACTCAACCTTTACCTATTAAAACTTCGTAACAGTTAACCTCCACTAAAGCCAGTTAAATAACTGTTATTGTTGGGTTCTCCCTGTGTAAATGAAAGCTCAGGTCTAAGGGTGGCCCGGACATCTTACGGAAGTGCGTTTGCGGGTGCAAATGGCCGTATGATGTGCCACCCTTCTCGCAGGACCTTCGATTCGCCCACTCCTCCGGCTGGTGGTCTCTTTTTTATCCCCTGGACACGGGTGCAACATGTTGCCGGGATTTGTTTTGTTAATTTCTGTTTTGGGTGCGGGGCAATGTGCTCGCCGCACCCCTTAAATCATTTTTTGGGCCACCCTCGTCGAGTTGCAAGCCGCATGCTAATTGAAAACCTGTGCGGAGTTTCGTTTTTGAACTTTTCTGGCTGCCTTGGTGGCCCGAAAAGTTTCGTCGGTTGCGTGGGTTTCGATTAATTAATAAAGAATTCATGTCTGATTTTATAACTTCAGCAATAAGCTCCGCTGTCGGCACCACTTTCTTTGCCCCGCCCTTTGCTCCCTCCTGGCTTTTATGAGGGAAATTCACAATGAATATTTATGCGCGTCGCCCCTTGAATGGGAAATACAAAGCAACAATGGTGGTGGGGGAAAAGGGGGGTCTGGGTGGTGGGGCGAATGGGTGGCTGGATGGTGCAGTGGAAAACAGCTGCCGACAGGCGCACCAGTTGCCCGAAATAGCGTCTTGGGTGGGAAGACGAAGGGAAGGCGAGTGGTCGAAACGCTTTGGCTCTCTAATTTTATTAACACGTTCATCATTCCTCGCCATTCGACGGCACAAGTGGCGCCCGAGGACGGCAATCAGTCTGGGGATCCCCATTTTGCTCCACTCACCCCATGCCTCCGTTTTCCAACGGCTGTCGCCTGCTGTTGCCACCAATTTCTCCTTGCAAGGGGGGCATTTTCATATTGGCCGCCTCGTTCCATGCATGAAGAGGCGAATTAATAAAAATTATTGCATATATTTGTAATTCCGGGTGCCTCTTCAACGGGTGGCGTCCAAGGGGTGTAATGAGGGGGTGGGGTGGCTGACTGGGCTGAGGGCATTGGGTGGTTGGGCGGTAACCAGGCGACTTCTTTATTGGCGCGTGCTGCTGCGTTTTATCGCTCCCTCCGTTGCCACTCCCACTTTCACTCCCACTCCATTTTATTAAGGCCCCACTCTTCGGCTGCTGTTGCAGATGAAAGCGTTTTTGGACATATTTAAGCTACACAACAAAGAAATTCGGAAGGATATTTAAATGGTAGTAGCAACTTAACAAAGTTGCCACCAAAACAGTAAAAAATTAGATGTAACAAAATAAGTTTAGATATGGTAATATAATAAGACAATGGAAACCTTAACAATAAGGTAAAATAAGGTATTTAAGGGTTTTTATGGCAACTAGTTTAATTTGTTTTAATTTGTTGAACTTGAACTTTTGAAGCTTGTGCTTATAGATTTAAGACAATATTAATGCAAGCAAGAACTTTCGTTATCTAAAATCCTGCCCAACAAGCAGGTAATTTAAAGTTCTTAAGTCCATAGCAAACACTTTTCCCCCTTTTTCTCTCTGTAAATATTAGGGGGAGCTACAAAAGACTTGCAACGCAGGCCAGGAATTCGTAGCCAAGTGGAGCGCAGAGCTCCAATTCCAGGGAATTTGGGGAATCTGAAGCAGGTCTCTTGCATAATTAAATTGATTAATAGCTGAGGCGGCTATTCGCCCCGAAAGCCACAAGGAAGTTTGTCGAGAAGGGGTACTCTTACCACGAAAAACTCTCGACTGAGCAAACAGAATCGACTCTTATCTATATCTACTATATCTGAGTACGCATTTGTTAGGTTTGTGCTGTAATCTCAGACTTGTGTTGCCACTTCAAAAGTACGATATTCAACGTTTCATTTACACTTGATTCCGTGGATGTTGATATTGTTGTTGTTGTGTCTGCTGTTCTGTTGTCATTCATTTTGTTAGCACTAAGGCAAACAATTTATAACAAACCATCCGATCCAGTCTGTCTGGATGTGTTTTTATCGTCACGTCACACAGATGAAAAAGTCGTGATGTAATTTTTTATCGATTACAGTTGACGCGAGGAAAATAGCGCTCGGGGTCTGGGTTGTTGACTCCGGTGATTTATGGTGTTGCATGCACCGCATCCGAGTTCCAGGGTTCTGCTTTCTAATAGTTGTATATTACCCTGCCCCTCGGACTCCGAACCCCTCGGATTCGGCTCCTTTGTCGCTGTCCATTAGCTTGTAAAACGCTGCTGATTGGCACTGTGATATGGACAATTAAATTGTCGTTCTTAATCAGCGCCGAGTGCACTAATTCATTGTGTTTAATTTCTTTCGCATTTTATTTAATGTTTTTTTCCCATCTTTTTCTTTCTTTTTTTTCCATGCCCCCTGGTCAATTGCACTTTTCAGAGCCAATGCGGGTCGCCAACGTTCGAGAAGGAATTGCGCGAACAAATTGAGAAGTAAGTGACAAATAGCGTAAATTGTTAAGAGCGATAACAGCACTAAAACGATTGTGTGGGAAGTTAAAAAATAAAGAAAGAGGGTTGATTTGTAGACTTTAGACCAGAACTTGCGCATTTCCGTTACTTAAGCCAGGCTCCATTAACTCCATTGCGAGTGCCGGCCAAATATTTATTTAATTTGCCTAGCCGGCAATTTTGGAGCACTTTTCGCGCTGCATTTGGCAACGCCAGCGTAAATAACTCATACCACGACTCGTGACCGGCCACGCCCCTTTTGGCCATTACGCACAGCAGAGCAAGTTAACGGCACAGCGAATGCAATTTTCCAAATTGCCAAGAATCGGAGGAGTTGGAGTTGTAGTCGGAGGATTCAGAACGAACGATTCAGAAGGAAGCGTCTACTGGGGAAACCCATCAATCACCGAACCCTCAACGGCGCCCTCTGCCGGCCCGAATACGTAATTACCGCGACTTGGAAATGGTGCAAAGTTTTTGGTCTAGGCCGAGATTTACCACCCCGTTCGGACCCTCTTTCTTTATGACCACCATTAGCTGCTAATTTCCTTGCCAATTGTTTACGCAAACGTTGCTTTTAAGACCCAATTCAGCTGGGAATTTCGATAAGTGATTACCTTATTTGGATTTTATGTTTGTTTCTCTGTTATAAATTTAATAAATTAAATAAAAATCTATTTTTTAAATATTTCACATTTTTCCAATACTTTATTTGGTATATTATTAAACGTAATCACTTATTCACTTAATCATATTATATTCATTGTAGCTTCCTATCCCTTTTCCCTTTCGATGAGTTAGTTTTGTAAATCATATTTATTTATATAACTTATTCATATACAAAGTCAAGTTAAATGGCTTTTAAAGTAGAATCATAACAGAGAAAACTCGCATCTTGCATTTTTTACAAGCAATGCAACAGAGTCATATTTCCATTCAGCCGCCTTTAAATAAGTAATCAATAGTCGGAGTTCTCAGCTGAAAGCGCCCCACGTCTGCGATGATTTTTGCAACTCGTTTTCATTTATGCATTTCTATATTTGTCCTCCTTTTTTTTCGCTTTTCCCGGCATCCGCAGCATGAATCGCATTATGAAATCCAAAGAACGCAAGCAAATGCAGACATGTCGGGATCACAAGGCACTGCAGGTATGTATCGGATGGAAATGGGAAATGGTTGAGGGTGGAGGGAGAAGAACTTTTCCGCACGGAGCCGCGCAGCATGTGGAAAATCAATTTGCACAGCGCCGGTTTCCCCACAAAAGGGGGAGAAGTCGGAGGAGCAACTCCGAGTCAAGTCATAAATAAACGCATAAATTCATTTTTAAGAACAATCTCTCCCCTCGCTGCCATTCCGGCGCATACAAATTGTCTCTTATCCGGACGGAGTAACTGGAGTTGTCGGCGGGACTTTGTTGTGAAAATGCTTCTCTGTTTTCTGGCCCAACACATTATGTACACTTTTTGTGCCCGAATTGATTGAGCGTCGGCATTAGAGACGCCTCACTGCGCCCTAGTGGCAGCTTTTCATTACCATTCTTCGTCGGCGGGGTGGGGGGAGTGGAAAATGCTTTCCCTTTCGCCGTCGTTAACTTCTGGCAATCTCGTTTGCCCGCCCGCCAGCCAGCCAGCCAGCTGGCAGTCGAAAAGCCACCCAATCTTGTGAGGCCCCGCTAATGAAGCCCAAGGTCTCCACGTACCACACTCCAACGTGACCTTCGGGCCAGTTAACAAGTCGGCTTTGATCGAGATTGGATATTTGTTACACGTTGGATCTCGGTGGAGGGGAAGGGAAAGGGGGAACGTGGGGGTCTTGTAACTACTGCTCACTTAGCACTTACAGAAAGAGCCGCTTGATGGATGGGGAACCCTGTCTGGGATGGTGACCCTCGTCAGGGCAGCTGTCCCGGGCGAAGGTTGCCCCCCGGCACTTGATAAATACTCGATCTAATCAGGCGGCCCTTTCTCGACGGAGCTTTTCACTGCACTAATCGCATTCGCCTTGTGCAACATCAAGTTGAAAACTTTTTACTTAACTGTCGGATACCTTAGGTCTGTTAGAAATGTGTTATATATTTTTATTAGCAGGAAACTCCCAAATAAGTACAATATCTAATAGTTTTAAAGGTTTACCTATACCAATTATAAGGCTATTTACAAAAGTTTTATATGCCTAAGGTGTGACATTCATTTTATTACTTGATTTTAGCGGGGTCCCCGACATAAATTTATATATATGGCACACCCCCTTTTTATCTATGATATTATATTTTATGTGCTTACTCGTTCCATTTGCTGCTTATCTGAAAATGACTCCAACATATGGGTAAATTTTTTATCAACGAACTTATCGCTGTGAAAACTATATGAATATTATATACAAAAGGTGTCAATGAAATTAAAGTATCGTTAGATATTCCAGCAAATATAAGCTCATTTATTGGGTTGGAAACTTTCAAGATCTCAAATATGAAATGATATCAAATTTCGTTTCCCATTTTTTTTATAGACCCGCTTCGCCCGCCAGGAAAGTCTGCTGCAGTCGATGCAGCAGGAGAACCGATCCCTGCTCACCCGGATCCGGCAATACGAGCACTGCTTGGACGATGTGATGCGCAAGGTGGTGGACGCCATCGTGGCGGAGGACAACCTGCGGGAGGAGGTGACCATGCTGAAGAGCAGGGTGCGGGATCTGGAGGCCCAGAATGCCGCCCTGTCCGCCAGTCCGGTGAAGGGCCGGGATGAGGGTTACTGCACCATGAGCAGTGGACAGCCGCAGCCGTCGAATGGACACCTCGAAGATCTGCCCGAGGAACCGGAGCAGTGGCTTCTGCCGGCGGAGCCCTGCTCCACGGAAATGGAGGACTGGAGCATGTCGCAGGAGGAGCTGGCGGTGATGACCTTCGACGACGAGCGGGAGCACCACCTGCAGCATCCCCAGCAGCAGCGGAGGAAAAGGGATCACGACTGGTTGTGGCCATCCAGCGACTTCATCAACTCAACGACTGTGGAAACCGATTCGGTGGCAGATGGCATTGCACAGCTGCTCCAACAAAAGGTTAGTTATACCTTTATATTCTTGGATTGTTATTTTCACTATGTTAAATTACAGATCGTTTACTCGGAGGACGAGGAGGTGGCCTGCACGGATTTCACCAACGATTTCTACAAGCTAGTTAACATTCGCTCAAACTCCTCGCGCAGCCTTTACTCCTACTTGGAGGGCGAGACGGATGACGAGGATGAGGACGATGAGGAGGGCGAGGATTCCAGCATGTCGGAGAGCCAAGTGGGTCCTGCAGGACGAACAACGGGAGGCAGTCCCACGCCCAGCGAAGCGGGAAGAGCTCAGCTAACCAGCTGCTCCTCCAGCGAAACGGAAGAGCTGTCCGTGAGTCAAGCGAAAAAGGATGAGGAGCCCGATTACGCGGTAATCGATGAATGCAGGAGGCGAGTGAGTGACATCGAAATCGAGGATGTACCCATGATTGTGAGCAGCACGCCAATGAAACCGCTGGATGAGCAACAGTGCATTGCCCAGATCATCAAGAGCGAACTTCGACGACCTCCCCATGTCCTGGTGAAATCGAAATCGGTGCTAGAGGAGCAGGAGCCCAGCTGCATCCTGCGGCAGAATCAACGCCGCGAACTGGAGTCCACCGTGGTGCGCAGCGATAGCATCAGCTGTGCCATGATGGCAAAGTTGGCCAAGGAGGTGGTTCCCCCGGCGCCCGGAATGGTGACCAAGCTGAAGGAGAGGATGCTGCTCCGGCAGGCTTCCACTCCTCCGACGGCCAGCTCCTGGCGCAGGAGCAACGGCTGGAAAAGGGTCACCTCACCCGTGCACACACCAGCGGCTGTTTCACCAAAAAAGGTAAAAGATTTATCATATAAATTGAGAGCAAGTGTTAAGTTGATAGAGCAGTTATTTATAGTGATGCATACATAAATAAGATTTATATTTAAAGTATCGAATTACCCGAACATCTTTTTTAATATATTCTCAATTAATTTGCAGAAGGAAGCCAAGACCACAGAGCCGCCAAAGAGTTGCCTGCCGAAGGCGCAGCCCACCAGAATTCCAACGAGCATCCATTCGTCGGTGTCCTCGTCCTCATCGATGTCCTCGTCCTGTTCCCCCTCGCCCTCCTCCCCCTCCCCCCAATCGCCGCAGCAGAGGTCACCGGGTCAACAGCCGCAGCAGCAGAGAAAATCGAAAATTCCTCCACCAGTTCCCGTGCGACGATCCTACGCCAGTTAGGGGATGCCACTCCAAAATCTCAAATCAATAATCGTCAAGCTAACAAATATTTAAAGATTTAAAAAGACTAAATTGTGATATATTCAAACAAAACAAAACAAAACAGAAAACAGAAAGATACCGAAGCATACAGATGATTATGAGAAGGCCACAGCGAGTTTTGTACGTACGAATACGAGTATTTATGTATATTGTAAATTTTTGGAGGATGTTTTACCTTGTAAGCGGCACTGCCAACTGTTCCCCCTAAAGCAAAAAAAGAAGAAGAAATATTTAACCGACCAGCTCGCCCTGCTCTACGCCATGTATTTTGTAGAGCAGCGGATGCAGCTTCCAAATCAGTAGGTTATACTAACTATAATGGCAATTTGATTGACTTCAAACAGAATTCAAACCACTATTAGCTATGGTCGAGAGTAGATGAACCTAAACTGTAGTCTTCCGCACAAGTCGAGTGTATTCGTAGGACATGGTTAGCCGCATTAACTAAGCCGAGTTAGTAGCTCCTCACACACAACCGCAGTTGAACATTTGCATTTAAGGTGAAATATTTCAAGGTGTTTACGATGCATATTTAGGTACGATATATACATTATATATATACGGTTTCCAAGCGAACATTTAAACATTAAACGACAACCACAACAATAAACTGTAAATAGATAGCGGTCGTTCAAGCCGGTGACAAAGCTCTTCTTCAACCGTAGTTAGTGTTAGCTCCTCAGGGACTGCTGCCACCGACTAATTTATCGCAGCAGCCCGATTCCTAAGCATATACCTACACTATATAGAACAGAACGCACTACGATCGAGGAGGGAACATAGACGTAAGCTCGTATAAACATTATAAATGTATTTTCTTAGCGTAGCGAGTACAAAAAATAAACAAAAAGAAGTTACAGAAAAATAAATTATTGACCTAACCATTGGCCTCGCCTCTCGAATACATTTATCGCGGTGGGCTGGTAAAATCTTACATAAACATGTAGTGATAATCAATTACATAAAATACAAACAAACACGACGGCTTAAACTATGGTGCTGCGCTACGACAAAGAATGAGCTCCAGTTCATGCTTCAGTTGGAGGGAACTGAAACGTGATTCCGGGGCGCTGACCCAGCAGCTTTTGTATAGTTTCGAGTAAGCGTTTTCCAGGCACGCACTCGCTTCTGGCGCCGGACTATCGAAATGGAGTGCTAATCGGTTCCGTCGGCGCTTCTTTTTCAGATCTCGGCCGGCGGTGTAAGATGGATCGAGGCTCAGATTGCGACAGATCGGGCCATGCGCCTTTCTATAAATCACGTCGTTGAAGTCCCAATCGCTGTCTGTCGGCCCAATTTCACAGGGGTTATCCAAAGCCAGAATCTTTAGTTGGTGATAGCTATCCGGACGCAGTTCGTGCTTAACCACCTGATAGGCTATGGTCTCGTTGCAATCGAGCATGTGATAGGGCAATCTGCGGGTCTGCAGTTGCCACATTGTTATGCCCAGGGAGTAGATATCGGAGGCTTCAGATAGGTTGTCGGATCGCAAGGCTTCTGGAGACATGTATCTTAAGGTTCCATTGGCGATAGCTGCCTCTTGCCTTGCACAAAACTCGCCCATTTCAATGGAGGAGCCAAAATCGCAGAGTTTGCAGATGTAGCTACGCTTGACCTTAGAAGAATTGCCAACTCCTGAAGACTTTGTTCCCAGAGCAACCAATACATTGGTTGGTTTTACATCAAGATGTAGTACGTTCCGGGAATGACAGTACTTCAGAGCGGCAACCACATCCAGGGTTATTCTAAGAGGATAAATGGTTAGTTAAACGTGATGTGAATGGTTAAACAGATCTTACAAAACCCTGTGTATAAGTGGAAGGGCCAAAGCGTCTACGATCCTCTGCAGACTTTGTCCTCTAGGGCACTCCATGATGACCAACCCAAACTCGGCGGCCGATTCTAGTTTAAGGAGGCGCACAATGTTCCTATGCTCCAAGTTCAACAAATGCGATTCATTGTGCAAAGTAGAAGCCGCCTGGGCTCGAATGATCTTTACAGCAACTGAGCGATCTGTACTAGATATTATAGTGGATAAACGTAAATTAAAGCTTCCAACCTACCCCTATAAATAGCTTTAAAAACGGTGCCATAGGCCCCGCGTCCTAGAATCTGGCACCTGGTGGGCATGGGTGGGCCATCCTTGAGTAATTGCTCTCTTTTCGGTGTGTTCAGCAAAATCTCTCCCATTTGTCTGCAAACTAAAATACGCCCGTAGGAATTTAAATTTATATTTTCTTCAAATAAATCCACATGGCCTAAATTTTTTCCCGGCCTTCTAACGGTGAATTTTCAAAACAGCTGTATGATAGAGTTGTTCCGTTCGATTACCTTTAAGCTATGTCGATATTAATCGCTTAGATCAAGGTCGGGTTGCTCTAAATATTTCTGTACACCCAAGAAAAAATGATTAGTATTCAAGATAAAGTTTTTATTTTATCAGCCAGATATTCCCTCAGCTCAAAATAATTTCAATTGTATATTTACACTAATAATGCACTCTGATTCACTTAAAGTGCCTCTCCAGCAAATACATCGTGATGAAGTAACCATAATACACGGAAAATCAATTATAATAAATGGATTGTAAGGGCTTTCGAGGGTTCATTTTAGGCTTAATACTATACAAATAAATATTATTACAATTGTCAGCCACAAGGCTCCTCCATGATGATTTGTTAGATGCGTTCTCTGTGCAACTTCAAGGTCTCCGCACGCAAGCTCTGTATTAATTTTAAATCAGAATTTAGGTTTTAAATTATCTTAAAATCAGGCTTACCCGAAAGGCTTCCTGAATTTTGTCTGTAATGAGTTTCCGTGCCGTGGGCTCTGGTACACGCCGCTTTTTCAGGTCCGTCACAAATTCATTGAGGTCCAAGGGCTGCCCCACATTCACGGTGATCTTCTTGCCCCGCTGTATCACGTAGGGCTCCACATTGGGCAGCAGATCATCCATGCCCTCGTGCCACATCGGCAAAATGATGGGGATCTTGGGCGACTCGTAGATGATCCTGCCCACGCCCCATTTGAGACGGATTTCCTCCTTCTCCATGTTCACCTTGCCTTCGGGAAAGACATGGATCCAGTGACCCAAAGCAGCCTTCTCGATGCACAGGTTAATTGCCTCCTGGTAGACACCATTGCCACGAACAACAGGAATGCACTTTCCTGCGAATGGAAAGGTGAAATTTTAGTTTCAAAATTAAAGCATGTTTCAAAGGAAAGCTCTTTAAATGTTGATATAAAATAAAAATGAAATAATTATGTTTGCACTACTTAAACCTTTTAGCATTCTTCAAATAAGATATATTCTCTTTAATTTAAAATAAAATTATTAAAAAAAGGATTAACACAAATAAAAATTTTAAGAGTTTCGAGATAACTCAATGATAACAAGAATCAAAAACTGTGCTACTGGTAAATGACAAAAATACAATTTAATAGTTTTAAAAGAAAAATACTTGTTATTTTAGGCTGTATTAATCAGTACTAAAGATAATACTTTACCGCATAATTACAAGTATCTCTACACTTTATCCTTCTAACGTAAATCCTGAAATCCTGGAATCCCTAACCTCAAAAAACTTACCAAACATGAAGAAGAGCGAGTGCCGCCTGTTGGTGAAGCAGATGTCGTGGGCGGCCATTGACCAGCGGATTCGGAAGGTGTTGCACACGAGACCAATCGGAAGGCAGCCCCACAGCCCGGGATCATCGAAGCAGGAGTAGTGATTGGACACGGTGACCAGGGGAACGCCCTGCGGCCGCTTCAATATCAGGTTCACCAGTCGGTCCTTGTTGTAGACGCGGGTTTTGTTGAGAAACACTGCAACGAATATCGAGAGAGGCGAAAGATCAGCATTTGCATAATTACAATTAACAACACGGCACACGCCTGACCTCGGCCAGCGAGATCGCCAGCATCCGCACATCGTTTATCAATCGAGAGACCCGCGATCGAGAGATTCGCATTCGCATTCGCAATCGCATTCACGGTCAAGGGCACAAGCTCTGCGAGCGCTGCTCTCTTGGCCAAAAATAAACGTGCCGCTGGGCCAGTTGTTGGGTAAGGTCGGCACTGCCGTCCGGTAGATACTCACACAGCACAATCTTGCTGAAGATTCCGACGGCGGAGATGACGCACTGACTGGCCACGTACCAGAAGCACGTGGGGTTCCTTAGCCGTTGGAATATCCAGTCAAGTTTGTAGGGCACCTCAACGCCGTTGGACACGTCCAAGTGGGAGGGATCGGCGCTCCGGTCGGACATCTTTGGCGGTGTAGGCGTTGCCGTTGGAGGAGGGGACAGGTCGCTTGGCGGGCTGCTCCGTCCGGTCTGCGTGGCAATATCCTTCCGTTCCTGCTGGGCGGCCGAAAACCGCTCATCGGGCACTGGCCGGGCCTCCGGGGCTGGGTTGTACTGCTGTGGGTGCCAAGATAAGAACGGAAATCGAATTACTCTACGGTCACTGGGAGTGCACAACAAATCCGACTGCTAACCATGGATAGTCTTTAATCTTATCGCTTCCTTTTGTAACTGTGTCTGAACCAATGCCTTTTCGAGTATCATTTTGATTTCTATTGGAATGCGTAAATCCTTTGTCAGATTTGGGATACATTAACCCCCACCCAGCAAAGGCCGCCTTTGTGCCACAGGTTAGCAGCATGCGCAGTTGAAATCTGCGACGGAAAACGCATTTTCGCGCGAATTATGCACTATGCAGGAAAAACTCACGTCGTCGTCGGAGATTCAAGGCGACCTTCACTCGCTGCGAGACTATTTACATTAGACACCTGAGAATCTTGCGCCTCCGGACGGCGGGAACTTTCGAGCGTAACTGATTTTCGTCTTGACAAAAATCGGGCAGTGCAACAAGCGCAAAAAGCACGCATGAAACGAGGGCGGTTGCCCGTTAAACAAAGAGAGACAAAGAGTAAAGGCGCGAGTGAAGCAACAGTCAAGTGGTAGACAGCAGCAGATTGTGAAACTATCTTTATCAGTTAGCAAAAGTGCTTAGCCAAACGCTTCCGTGAATAATGATCACGTTGCCCCGACTTGACAAGATAAGCATTTAAATTTTGGCGCCAATCGTGGTGAGTTTTGGTTTGAGTTTCGGGACAAGATGGTGAGTTGGTGAAAGAGGGAAAATGGTTGTAAAGTTTTTATCAGTTGCTTAACTCGTATTAATTTTCAAGATAAAATTGATGGAAGGTTTTTATCGATTGCCAAGGAGAACTTCGGCTAGTACATGCTAACAAATTATTAAATAATAAGCTCACCGCAAGAAAATTTCTTTAAATTAAAAATTATATGCTTTTAACAGATAAGTAATTTTACTTAATAACCCAACACCTTTAAACAATAGTCAATTTTATTTAATTTATTTAAAGGCTACCAATATGATAATAGATAACTAACAGTATAAAATCGTTTGAATTTTTCCGCCTAAAATGGTGAGAATGGTACACCGTGGTGAGCTTGGAACAAGGTAAAACAAAGGGAAAGCGATGGCCTGATTTTGTTTATATTTATGAGGTGTATCTAGGCCTGATATTTCATGGTTAATTGCTATAATTATGCTCACCCGGGCCAGTGCTTGGATCGGCGGTCTATATCCTCCGCTGATCGGCCAATCAAGACCAATCCGCAATGCGGATGCGGCGCCCACGTGCGCGGGGCGCCTTAAGCTGGAACACACGACCATCAACATTTCTATGAGGTTTTCACTTTACAATTATGATATGTGGGCAGTAGGCAGGCCTTTATGAGCTTTACATAACCGTCTTTTGTAGGCCGAATATTGTACACTTTGCAATTTTGGACGCGCACTGCTTGCTTCTTCCGCCGACCGCCACTTCTTCACCTCAGCAGCAAACTCATGGGCGTACGGGCTGGGGACGCCGGATTCGATTGGCGCATGTCTGAAGGGGGTCGTAATTCCGAGAAGGTGGCGAAAGTACTCAAGGTCAAATAAAACCGAAGAAATTAGAAATTTAAAGAAAAACAAAGCCGAATCAGCTGTTTGGCATAGCCATTCGCCTCGAACTAAAACTTTGGCATTTCGCAGCACTGCTTGGCTTGGGCGCTTCTCAACACTTGGCTTTTGGATATTTTGGTATGGTTCTGTGGTTTTGTAATCCACTCTTAATTATTAATTAAAAGCTGGCGTTTGCCGAATTTTCAGTGTAAATATGTCTCGTAGTGCCCGCCCCCTCACCTCAGCACGTGTGCTGCACAAAATCAAAGAGCTGAGCACGCCGCAAGCCAGCACGGAATATGTGATCAACCGGAACCCCAGGAATCTGGAAAGACTACGGATTGCCTACAAGCCGGGTGGCTATCATCTCGAAAAACCAGGAAGATCTTACTGGCACACTCTAGAAATTAACACCAGTGGTCGTTATGTCAGCGCCGATGTAAAGCATTTCGAAAACGGAACCATTTTGAGTGCTAGCACCTCTGAATGGGCCATCAAACAGCAGCTATACAAAACCAACGATACTGCAGCATTTGTAAACCTCGGAAGAGTTCTCGCTCATCGATGTCAACAGTCTGGGATTACCGAAATGACTTGCAATGTGGAAGCTGTGCCTGGCAGCAAGTTGCAAAAGTTGCTTCAAACTCTTAAGGATAACGGAGTGTCCTTCGAGGAGCCCGCTCGCCTGGCCAATACACAGCCCTGGGATGCCCTTCGACATGAAAAGCCCTGGGAAGTGTCGGAACAATCCTTAGAACCCGCAGCACCAGTAAAAGCAGTTAAATAACGCAGAGAAAATCTGTTTAGTTTTTGTTTCGTTTAGAATAAACGTCGATTATTATTGCTAATTACAACGAATCATAGTGATTTATTCGTATTTGCCCTTGATGTCCTTCCAGAGTTTCTGCAAGCGAAGGAAAATTCAATATTTAGCCAGGAATCTACTGTTACATAAGAGCTTATTACTTACGCCTTTGTTGATTCCCTCGAAGATCGCAACCGATGTGACATCGATGGCGCGCTCGAAGAAGAACGCCGACGCGATGATGGCCACGGCATAGGTGGAGGTGCGCTTGAACAGGGCGTTGTAGATGACCTTCATTTTGGCTAGATTTTAGTTTTAAATTCTGCTATCTTCTCCGACAAACTTTTTTCCACACGCCAAATTCACAGCTGATTTCTAAGGTTGACAAGTAGTGTTTGTAAACGTCAAAATCTGAAAATAGGGTGACCAATAACGAAGATATTTCGGCAGAGACCCGGTAGAATGGTCCAATGTGCCAAAAATCTGACAGTTCGATAGTATTGAAGAAGCATCGGCCTTAGTTCCACCCCTAATGTCGACGGAGCAAAAACAAGCGATTCGTGAAGATGCCAAATTATCTAGGAATTTAGCGTAATTGGACAATCTGTTCGTGGACCATGGACATAGCCACCATCGAACTGAGCGTGGAGGCGCTAATTGGATCCTTGCTGGCCCTGGGTGTCCTGTTTGCCTTCTGCCGCAGCTTGCTGGCCGAGGACTTTGTGAGCACCTTCAAAACACGTCACAGCTGGAAATCAATAAAAGTTATCGAGCAGGTGTGTGATATCACTTGTTGAGAGTGTCCAATAGTAAATTGTTTGTTTTTCATAACAGGCCTGCTTCTGCAATGTGTGCGAAATCCTTCTAACTCCCTCCGCCGGACTTTTTTGCGACTGCTGCGGTCTGTGCACCCATGCCACGCCTCTTTGCCAGCGAAGGGCGGACAGGGAGTACCGCTGCAAGGACAAATGGTTGCGCAACGAGTCCTCCGTTCGGCACCTGTGGGTCCACGGCAATCTGCCCATGGGAGTGCATTGTGCCGACTGCAACGAGGAAGTGGATCACCATGTCAGCACCGATCCAGGATTGTATGGATGGCGGTGTGCCTGGTGCCAGCGGTGCTACCACAACGACTGCTACAACCGAGTCGATTCCAAAGCCTCCTGCGACTTTGGCGAGTTTAAGGACATGATCTTCCCGCCCTACAGCTTTGTGGCCGCCCGAACTCGGGATTCGATGCGCCTGCACCTGGCCAGCATCACGCCGCCGGACATCGAGAACTGGGAGCCGCTGATTGTGATTGCTAACACCAAATCGGGCAGCAGTACGGGCGCCAATGTGTTGTCTCTGCTGCGTGGCTACCTGCACCCGCTGCAGGTGATGGAACTGGGCTCGCGTGGCCCACAGGATGCCCTACAATGGGCTGCCAAGGCCAGTCCTCGCCCATGTCGTATACTGGTAGCCGGCGGCGATGGCACCATCGGTTGGGTGCTCAATACCATATACGCGTTGAACATAAAACCCCAGCCGGCGGTGGCCATCATGCCGCTGGGCACTGGCAACGATTTGTCGCGAATTCTGGGATGGGGAGCCGAGCCTCCCTCGGTTCTCGATCCTGTGGAAATTCTAAGGAGTATTCGTCGTGCGCGCTCCGTGAATCTTGACCGCTATGACCTGCAGATCGAGAAGCTGCACTACCGGCTGCCGATTCAAAGGCATCCCACAAAAACGATCCATGTGTACAACTATTTCAGTGTGGGTGTGGACGCACACATCGCCTACAACTTCCACAAGACCCGTGAATCTCGGTTCTATCTGCTCAGCAGTCGGATATTCAATAAGGTATAAAGGTACTAAGTAATACCTTTTACTTTATCTAATCTTGCCTGAATCTCTGCAGCTTCTGTACTTCACGTTTGGAACGCAACAGGTGATGCAACCCGGTTGCGAACACATTGAGGAGAAGCTCATCCTGTACCTGGACAACAAACCAGTTCAATTGCCTGAACTACAGGCCCTGGTGTTCCTAAATATAGACTCCTGGGGAGCTGGCTGCAAGCTGTGCGAGCTAAGCAACTCCAATGGCGAGGTGCGCATCGTAAACTCCATTTCCGATGGCATAATGGAGGTGTTTGGCATTGTTTCGTCCTTCCACATTGCTCAGCTTCAGTGTAATATTAGCAAACCCGTGCGAATCGGCCAAGCCAAGCAAATAAGGGTGAGATATAGGTTTTTCAATTAAGACCCTTTTAACTTTTCAACTTTTGTAGCTGCAAGTCAAGGAGACGGTGCCCATGCAAGCAGATGGCGAGCCCTGGATGCAGTGTCCTGCGGATATACGTCTGTCTTCACGCAGCCAGGCCCGCGTTCTCAAACTGGCTGCATCCTAATTAGTTAAACCAATAGCGAACCCTTATGTGCCAGTCCCATAATCTCAAAGTACTTAACCCGGAACTTCAGTCTATACTTAATCGAATTTGGTAATTTATGGCATTTCAAGACGTCCGTAGGAGGAAACCCAATACTAGTCGAAAAATACATTAATTCGTATCTGAAAGAATTCCTTTTTTATTTAGATGCAATAATCATTTGAAATATAATTAAATGTTCGACTGGTGTAACATGCTGCCCGCGCGGGGCATGCACAACATTTGGGTCAAATAGTACAATTTATCGAAAGGCGGGTAAACAACAAAATCAGGAGTGCAGCATCGGCTGGCGGGCCCGCTCTAGAGCATTGTCAGATCCATGATGGCGTTGACTATGTCGTTGTTGTTCCTCTTCAGCGCCGTAATGGCCTTTGCCCTCGTCGTGTTGGCCTGTGTTATGACCAGCTCGATGTCCTTTTCATCGACGCCGGTGTCATCGACCTCCTCCTCGTCTTCCTCGGCAATCGGGGCCACAGATGTGGTGGCACCGACGCTGTCGGCAGCACCAGCGGCCTCTGGAGCCTTGAACTTCTCGGCGGCGGCCACCTGGGCCTGCTGCGACAGATCCTCGATCTTTGCCTCGCCGAAAACGATGTAGGTATCGCTGTGAGGGTTCTTGTACACATCGGGGTTGTTGATCACGAACAGGATGTTCTTCGACTTGCGGATGGTCACGCGGTTGACGCCCTGGATCTGCTTGAGTCCCAGCTTCAGCATGATCTTCCTGGCCTTCTTCTCGCCGCGCGACTGCTTGGCCTTGGAGACCAAGTCGATGGGCAAGCCGGTGGCGCCGCCTCCCAGCTGTGTGGTGGCCGCTCCAGCCTCCTCCAGACCGGGCATGCCGCCATCGGAGTCGCTGTCACTGCCGTCGTCCTCGACGCGCACATCCTCGGGTTTCGCCTCAGCGGAGGTGGAGGGCGCAGCCTCGTTCTTGATTTCGGTCAGTTCAGGCATCTTTGTCTGTTGGAGAAGAGATGGGCAAAAGTCGGTTAGGTAATTGCTTATCAAACGCGGTTAATTAAGCTAGGGGCGGAACATCTGGCGCCGGTTCAGAAGGGCGGCGAGATGTCTCAGGTGGGGTCGTCTTTCATTGATTTTTCTAGTTCATTCTACCCCTTTTATCACCCCACGAAGTTGACAATAAACCGTTTCCCTTCCAAGCCTTAATCTTAGGATTGGTATTTTACGTAAGTCAAGTCAGGAATTATGGTATATTTTGCAATAAATTGATTTAAGTAAAAAAAACGCGGAGTACACACACTCACCGGAAACGAAGAAAAGAAATATGGCGAAAAGAAGTGTGACCGCGCACAAAAATCAAATTTATCTCGGCTTTTGATAGTTTGACAGTATGAGCGTAGCCGACTTTTTAAGAAAACGATATTTGTTCATAAATATTCTGGCAACGCTGGTTAGCTTAAACCGTTACGCTTAAGCTTTATTTTTAAATATGTAATATGTAAAGATAGCAATATTAAAAAATAATATTAATTATTTTAAATCGTTCATCATTTTAACGAAAGAGTATTTTTACTCTTCAAAATTAATTACTAAGGATCAAGTTTATTAAATTGATCTAGATTCTAGAAAATGCATACGGACAATTTTCGCTTATCATTGCAAATTATCAATCGCAATCTTGTATTGTGTAATGTTATTTTTATAATTTTTTGAAAATTTGTCAAGCAAAATGTAGAGCTGATTAGTTGAGACTTCAGCTCATTCAACCAGGATTAAACTACTACTATATTACTATATATTTAGTTGTTCTGAATGAATTGTAAAGCTACGCAATAGGAAATCCAACTTTCCCCTCCCCAGACTGTCACTTAAAGATCTCGATCTTTAGATTGCTAGTGCATTTCACCAATGCTTCTCGAAGTGCTTCTTCACGCGCAGACTGGACGCCTGGAGGAGTTTCTGTAATTGAATTTGCCTGATAAGGCGAGTGCCCTTACACTCGATGCATGATTTCATTTATAAATTTGACTCGACTGACTTTGCTAGAGGAAGTGCACCGAGAAATTGAGTAAATACAATGACCTAGTTGGAATATCATGTTTCTTATAAATGTTTACCGTCTATCAGGTTTTCTGTTTCAAATACTCAGATGTTTGGATATGTAAATAATTGACAGAGCAGACAGACTACAAAAAATAACACACGGAAGCTATGATTCAAACTTGATTCAATCTTAATATTAAAGTAGTTTAAGTTTCTTTAGCCGATAAAATTATTTTAATACATTTATTATGCGGAGCTACAGGGTATAAATATTTAAAATACTTTTTTTGATACCATTTAATTTCTCTGTTAAAGCTTCCCAGCGCACGCATCCATCGGATACCAAAGTCCAGCCCTCACTTTGTGGTAGGTTGGATGGGCGATAAGATCAAAGGAAACACACGCCAGATGACTGATCGTATCGGCATTAGATAAGGCCAATTGAAGTGGCCACTCTTGCTGGTAATAAAAGCCCTGGTTGGGATCCGGCACCTCACAGTGAACGCTGTAACGTTCAGCACACTAAACCCGCAACAATGAAAGTAGCTATCCTCCTAATTGCCCTGCTGGCCATGGCGGCGGCCAAGTCTACTCCTGGACGCATGGCCGCGCGGTACGACAACTTCAGGATCTATCAGCTGACCATCGACACGGAGTTGCAGATGCAGGAGCTTAAGAAGATTCACGAAACCATTTCTGTAAGTAGATAGAGCCATTTTCTTTTAAGAAAGTGTACATTTGATGTGAATCCTGTTTGTAGGTGCACTTCCTAAACGATCTTGGAGCTCCCGGCCATAAGTACAATGTCATTGTGGGTCCTCTATTTCATAGAGCCCTGGAGAAGACCCTGAAATTCCTGGAAATCGTCTACGAAGTGATTGTAGAAGATCTGCAAAAGTAAGTATGCGCATCTTATTTCTTAATTATATATTACTTATACCTATCTTCCTCTTTAGATTAATTGATGAGTCCTCCGTTGGCGATGATTCTGAAATGGAATGGGAGTCCTATCACACCCTGGACACCATCTACGATTGGGTGGACAAGGAGTGCGCCGCCCACGATTACCTGGAGTGCAAAGTGATTGGCAAGTCGTTCGAGGGTCGCGATATCAAGAGCATCAAGTTGTCGAAGCGGTCGGGCAACAAGGCCATCTTCCTGGAGGGTAACATCCACGCCATGGAGTGGATCTCGTCGGCCACTGTTACTTTCCTGCTCAACCAGCTGATCAACTCCGAGGACCCCGAGATGCAGCGCCTGAGCGAGGAGTACGATTGGATTGTGGTGCCCATGGTGAACCCCGATGGCTTCGTTTACACCCACGAAGTGGAGCGCTTGTGGCGCAAGAACCGTCGTCCCAATGGATTCCACAACGTGACTGGCGACTGCTACGGCATTGATATGAACAGGAACTTCGATTTCCACTGGGGAGGTGCTGGTTGGAACATCGACGAGCCCTGCGATCACTGGTTCGGTGGTGTGGAGCCCAACACAGAGATTGAGATTGTGTCGCTGCAGAACTTTGTGAGCTCTTTCGAGGATGGTTACATCCGATCGTACATGGCCTACCACGCCTATGGACAATACGTCCTGCTGCCCTATGGACACTCCAACACCGAGTTCCCGCCGAACTACGATCAGATGAAGCGCATTGCAGCTGCCTTCTCGGAAGCCGCTGCCGATGTCTATGGTTCCGCGTTCACCTACGGAGCTAGTGGCCTGCTGAACTGTGAGTTTTCTTGGATTACAATAACCCCTAAGTATTCCCTACTAATGTTTGTGCATTTTCTTTACAGATCCGGTATCTGGAGCTGCCAAGGATTGGGCTTATGGCGTGAAGAAGATCCCCTTCACCTGCACCGTGGAGCTGCGCGACAAGGGCACCTTTGGATTCTTCCTGCCCTCCAACCAAATCACCGAGGTCGGTCTCGAGATCACCGCTGGTCTGAAGGCTTTGGTTAACAAGGCAGCCGAGGAGGGACTTTTCGACTAAACATTCGTTCTTTACTTAATTAAGAACAGGTGCTGTGAATAATAAATATATAAAAATATATTTATTCATTTGAACATTCAAAAGTGGCTTAGAATATGATTGCTGAAAAAATGTAGTTTCTGAAGTTACACGCTTCTTGGGGATGGCGCCAGCTGTGAATTTTCTGATGTAAATTTCATGTAAAATGAATGCGTATGTATATTACTTCTTACAGTTGAAATTAAAAAGTAAAGTAACAGTGTTAAATTTCTAAATTTAAATTTTATTTTTTAGCCACTACGACCTCAAGAAGAAACAATAAAAATAAACACTAAATTTATAAAATGTTAAAATTTCAATACAAATTAATATAAATGATATTTTGCGATTACTAAATTTTATTTAAGTAAACTAAGTTAAATTTATATTTGGTATAAAACAACAACCAGTCAAGGGGAAGCTATAACTCAATGCATTTTCCTACGCCAGCCATTTTCACAAGCTCTCCTTGTGGGTAATTGAATTATAGGGCCAGAGATTGTTTTGGCAAAGCACAAGCAGTTATTGAATAGTTCTCCAATAACTTCCCATTTAGCCAAAAAGCCGCACTTATAAGTGGGAAGGAAAGTGGGGGTCCTGGCCAAAATTACTGCATCTGGTTAAAGGCAAATTATGCCACGTGGCTGCAGTATCAATAAATATTTATGCCGCCGTCTACTGCGGCTGTTGCTTTTGTGGGAGTCCGGTAATTTTCACTGCGGATGCCTGTAGCTGCTAATGGAGGGCGGAGTCGGAGGCGGAGGGTGTGGCGACGGAATCCGGTTACCGGGAGGATGGGCAAACTTTGCGGCACGCAGCAAAACTTTGGCCAAATGCACCGGAATCTCGTCGGGCTAGGCGGCCAAAGCCGTGGCCAAAGCCATCAACACCAAGCGGGTTAACATAAAATTCCCACTACAAAGTGGTTATTTTGTTTGAAGTAATCCGCAAGAAGTCGTTAAAAGTGTCGTTGCCAGTGCTTCCAGATTGATGATGGTTTCACGTGTCCGCCACAGAGAGCGGCAACCAGTCAGGATGCCAGGATGCCAGGCTGCCAGGATGCATCCTTATCCTTGCATCTTTGCGCGTCCTTTCAACTCCACGGATTGCGGCACTCGAAGATGCATTTGAGGGGAAACTGATGCAATGTCTGCAGCTGACGAAACGTCTCTCAATGGCTTTCCCCCAGCAATGCTTTGACATGGAAATGCTAAAAAGTTCCCGGGGAGACGATGATGATGGCTTCCGGAAAAAGCCTTTGACACCTGATATGAAAAGGAGCCCGTAATCAAATATGCCTGGCAAATAAAATGCCAAAGCTGCCGGAGGAATTCGTTTGCTGTACCTTAGCCATTTTCAATTAACTTTGTCTGCGGGGGAGACTCGCCTCTGCTTTTCCCTTTTTCCATCGCCGGGATAGAGCGACCTTTATTGCTTCGCACACTCTGCGTCACGTGGCAAGTGGCAAGGGGCAAAGGTTATAGGGATCATAAAACGACCCGCTCATTATGCAAATGTTTTGTTATACGAGGTGCCCCTGGCAAATACCATAAATCGGTAGTGTTATGCTTATGTGATCCAATTCGAATAATATCTTTCTCGATAATTACGAAGCTCGGCATTCCACTCAACCCTCCGCGAATTAGTATTGATGTTCGAAACTTTGCGTGCTTAACTTATATCACAATCATAATTAGAATTGTCGGTTCGAGGCGCGAACTCAACGACAAAGCAAACCATTGTGATCCGATACTGTCCATAAATACTCTTCAGATTAGATTTAATTGCTGCTTGAAACGAGAGCGACTGTTATGTAATTGCAGGCTTTATCGAACAAGTGCGAAAAGTCAACTTGTAATGGCCACTTATGTTGGTCAGTTAAGAGTCTCTGAGTATCGGAAAAGTATATTGTAGCAATTCAATGTGCACAAACGGTAATTATATACAAAGTTAAGTAATCGTTTAAAGTGCTTTACATTTGTAAAAGATAAAAGAAGCAATCAATTATCTGAAAAATATTAATACCAAATATTTTGACAGACAATAAAATGGTTGCACTTAAGCTCATAGCTATTTCATTGGAATTATTTAAATTCGTTGAGGGCAATAAAAATAATATAAGTAATAATTTAAGTAATAATTAAAGTAATAATTTAAGTAATAATTTAAGTAATAATTTAAAAATAAAATACCAAAACAAAATAATTGAAAATAAAACTAAATTTTGAAACTTGTTATAGACCTTTTAAATCTAAGCCACATATCCACATTTTACACCGCTTATGCTTAGTTTCAATAAGGTTTTGCATGAATTTTTATATTTTAAAACATTTTTAACAATGGATGAATAGTTACACATTTGTGCTATGAGAAAAACAAAAGGCAAAACCAATATTTAAAGCTTTTATTTATTGATATATTGAATAAAGGCACATATTTCTAAATAAAGAAAAAGATTCGAAGATGTACAGCGTAAGAACGTCGTAAAAATAATCGAAGAATGTATTTTGTACGCGGTAATAAATTTTTAATAGCAAGTTTTTCCTGCCAATAATACTTTATATACCCCTCCTCTGAACTAAAGTAGCTTCAACGAGGAAAATCAGAAAGTGGGGTCAACAAATATGATATGTCATTATTTGTAATGTACGTTTGCCCGATAACTTGCCTCCGAATTGTGTCGCAAATTCGGTAATTGTCCTGTGGCCCAATCCGAACCCGGTACATAAGCTCGGTCAGCTTAAATGTTGTACATAATTAAACGATTGTCCCGACAGAAATCAGGACACAAACCGAAAAAAAGGCAGTCAGGTGAGGCGAAAAAGGGAGGTGTTTCGGTGTGGGAGTGCCAAACCGCAGACAAATAGCCGTTGGCAAAGGGGGAGGTCGTTTGGTTGGGAGGATTGGGGTAGGGGGTTAAGAGGGGGGAGGGGGGAGGGGATTCAGTCAGTTAGCACACACAAAACAAAGCAAAACAAAACGAACCGGCGGAGAACAGAACGAAGTGCTGGGGACGAGCACACGCAAACTGAAAGTTGCTTGTCATTGAACCATGAACTGGTCACCAGCCATCATTCACTCACTCTCACAGTCGCTCACTCTGCCAGTCACTCACTCACTCACTCACTCATTCACTCTGGGAATCGGAAGAATCGAAGGGGACGAGGGATCCCTCCTTTTTGGGGAGTTACATGTTGGACGGGCGAAAAAAAAACACAAGCGTCACGTGTTTGTGAATTGCGCGTATTTGCTTATGCAAAAGGCCAGACGAAAAGGACCAGGATATTCCGAATGGAGGCGGAGAAGGAGGAAGGGGCGGTGCAGAAGGACCAAGGCAAAGTGTTTGATTTACACTTAAATCAAAAAATAGTACACTAACTACTCAAATGTTTGAGTTGTAAACTTCAAATACTTTCGGAATGTGTTAATTTGGCAATTATTTACGTTCGTTGATTTATATACAAACTTGCTAAAAAAACAGATTTAGGAAATATTAAGTCTTTAGTGTATGTATATATCATATATAAAGGCCAATACTGTTATGGCTCATGTCCTTTTTAAATATTATAATGTTCCTGAATGTTTCTTTCTGTTTTCTGTTTTTCCTGTTTTCTTCTTCCTGTTTTTAAGGATTCAAATTTATTTAATTCAAAAATATTATTAAAGAATATTATTTTCAAATTCAACATTTAGGTTAATGGATGCTCGTAGTTTGAAACTAGAAAATTCAATAAAAACTTTTTTTAAGCAAAAAACTTTGATTTTCAGAAACCAGAAAATTGTTGACCGATTTAAAGGAAAACTCTCTGTGCAGCCAGCAAACTAAGGGGAAAACAAACAGGGTGCACTTTAAAAATGGGCACGTATGTAGTAAATACTTAAATATTTATTTGAGGCTTGCGTGGATTGCTGCTTCTTCTTCTTACCACACAGAAATTTAATTAACCAACAAATAAAACTAGAGCAGAACAAGGCGAATTTTGTGCAGCTTTTCCATGATTGATGTTGAATTGATGGCACTAATTGATCTAGATTGATTGATTGATTGACAGCCGGCGGGCAGAAAAATAACAGGGCAAAAACCATAAACGCATATGGTCAACGTGTAATCCTTAATTAGTTTACTCTGGACCCGGGCTTATCCGCTTATCTAAATTACGCTGGGTCAGTGCACATTATGCAGAATGCAAATACTTGAGAAAGGCAGGCAAAGCGAGCGAGTGCGAAAGGGAGAGCGAGAGCAACACCATTTACCGCTAGCCAAGCTATTATTAAAAGAGCATTTATATAATGGACTCAACGGACTTTTGCCAGTTCGCTTTGCGCTTTTCTTCTTTGAATGCACTTACAAAAATTTTAAGGGATTAAATGGATCATGGCAAATATTTCGGAAGAAGAAATCTACAACTATTCAAATATGGTGATTATTAACAACAATTCATTGTTGATGCTTTTGACAACTACAAAGAGTTGTGTTCCATGACACATACATTATCTACATTTTTAGGTAATTTAGTTAAATTAAATTTAATGTAGGGGTATTTATAAATTCTAGATCACAATTACTATCAACATAAGAATGACTTCCATTTTATAATTTTAATCAATTTGATTATACAACACTTTTAATTTAACAAACAATATCGATTTAATTTATACAATAGCTTACTTAAATTTCAATTAAATTTCCATTAAGATGAATTTTCTCTGTGTGCAGGCCTGCAGTGTCTGCAGTAGTTTTACATGGAAGTTGGCCCAGTATTTGCGACCCCTGTCGGATTGGTCACGCATTGCTTCGCCATGGAGAGGAAATAACGCCCGGCAGCTGCTGTTTTTACTGCCCCTGAGACTCCGAAGGACTCACGCGGACTCCTGTTGACTGCTGCGAACTCCTGCGGACTCCTGCTGCCTCCGTTTCCCAGCCACTGAACACAGGGCGTATGAGTTATATTTATTTTATCTCGTATATGTTTGAGTTTCGCATTAAAATGCGCTCGCTGGAGCATAAAATGTTGGCTGTTTTTATTGAAATCGACGTCATTAATGCGGGAATTATGCGAGCAGC